GAGAGAGAGAGAGAGAGAGAGAGAGAGAGAGAGAGAGAGAGAGAGAGAGAGAGAAGCGCCGCGTGTTTTATTAAACCGCGTTGAATACTGTAATTTATAAATCGAGCGTGTTTCTCACGCCGGCTTTAAATCCCCATTTTAATTTCCATTCAAATTTGAACGGATTTTACGCGCACGCTCCGCACACCCGCGATTTGCGGCTCGGGAATCGGGTATTTTATCACGGCAGAAACAACATGTCGGAACGTCGGAATAACCCAGGATTTTCTTCTTGCGTTGTCTAAACAAATTACGTTTTCGCATCGGGGAGAAACACTTCTTTTTATCCTTTGCCTAGCTAAGCTTATCATTAGCTCTCCGTACGCCTCTCTGCGAGAAACGAAATTGCTCAATGACGAAAGAGAGAGAGAGAGAGAGAGAGAGAGAGAGAGAGAGAGAGGAGGATCGTCGCGAAAAGAAATGTTTTAATCCGTTAATTGTTGTCGAGGCCTTGGCGGGTTTTATTAGTGCCGTCTCCGACGGACGCGAACGGACGGTCCTTAAAGGACAATTCTTATCAATATGCCATTATGCGCGACAGTCCTCGTAATGACTTCTCTCGTCTTCTTTTGAAATCGTTAAGAAACTGTGCAATTCGTTCCTCCGTTTGTGTTTCGAGTCCTACTAATTGACGACAAAGACGAGCTCCTTGGCATCGGCGTATCGTTACGGCGAAAAGGATAAATATGAAAATAGTTCGCCTGCAATTGAGGCACGTTCCGAGTTCGTTATTACGGGCTTCTATTTAACTTTCCAGTTGCCTGCCTCGTCCTTCGGGAACGAATCCTCTTCGCCGAGAACGATCAGAATATTCGTGATTTGTACATGTATAAGACAGAAATGTATTCGTTGTTTGTGCTGCAATCGTCTTAGGGAAGAGTCTCTCTCTCTCTCTCTTTCCCGTGGGACGGTGCTTTGTGTATATTTTTAATCTGACATTAAAATTAACTTGTATAATATAAATGAGAAGAGTCGATTTTTCTCGAAGAGAGAAACGTCTCATTTGCAGGTTGGATATATCTATTTCAGTGTGTTTATTAAAGAACGCGTAGAGACATCGATTATAAAATATGAGCTCATTTCTTTTATAAAGTAGTGCATTCTGATGACAACTGTTGGAAGTTGTTGCATTTATTATAAATCTCGTTATACCCCGAGAAAAATGTTTTTATATGCAAATTAATATATACAGAGTGTCCCAGATCACCATTTTCAAACTTCGCGAGAGCAGATTGAAATGAACATAAAAGTCCCATACCGTTTGGCGAATTTATTCGTAATAAATCAGCGACAGAGTAGTAAAATGGGAATGTTTTCACTGAATATTTATTGATTATTTCAAGCACTTATTGATTATCAATAAAATAGTCTTTTTATTGTTCTAATCAGAAATATTCTTGCTGATTCACATTGGGGAGTAGCAATGTTGATTTGAAAAAAAAGATATTCCACAGTCGGTTCTGTCACTCTGAAACTATAAACCGCGTCGTATCTGAAGGGATACGCTTGTATACGTTTAAATAATTTCTATAGTCAATTACTGCGTTGGTTATAGATTACCTCGAACTATTTCTTACGCGGTCCCGTTGCCGCGGCCGCGGCGGTAATTTTGACGCTTATCATTAAGCGCGGGACGTTGCATCGCGAGTACAGCGTGTTAAAGCGGGCTTCGCGAAGTAGTTTGAACCGCAAACTCTGGATGTTCCATCGGATATTCACGCGGATAAATTACAGATTAAATTATATAATCGAGTCGGATCCTCGCTGTGAGGAACCAGAAAGTAGTGTTCGATATCAAAGTGTTGACCTCAAGTAAGAGCTATGAAGTTTGGTGGTCTTCAATTCCCATAATAGCTTCAAGCGTTTTGACGTTACACGAAACTAATAAGATTGTTTTCGTCTTCAATCGATTCATTACGTGGAGTTGAATCTGCTGGCTTATCTCCCTCCCTCTCTCTCTCTCTCTTCTTCTCTCTTCCACTCTCTCTCCCTCTCTCTGTCCCTCTCATGTATTTCCCTTATTTCTCGCAGTCGCGTCATCACTAGAAAAATACTGAAAGTCGTGAGGTAGAGACGATATTAGCGATTATAACGGCTTTGTGCTCAACCCTAAATCAACTCGATCCTCGCCACGTGGCGAGAGACAAATGTCGGACATCCTTCTCGCATGAGCTGAGCGGAAATTTCACTCCCCCTCTCCCGTTCTCAAAAGGATCAGGCACACCTCTTAACACTCGACCAACTTTCTTCGCGCAGTACTCCACGCGGTGCTAGCCGTCACTCCGCGCACCATCGGTCCTTGTCTCGCTCGATTTTCGCGGCGCGCAAACACGAATCTCCTCCGTCCTCCTCTCAACCCTCGCGTAGGGGTGCGTAGGGGAGACACGGCCGGCGCGTACAGTGCGCGTTGTTGCACGCCGCGCCGGAGATATGCGAGCCACGCTACTCGACAAGACAAACGTTTTTATTACGAAAAATCAGGAGGCGAGACGAGAAATCTAGGATCGCGCGCGTGCGCCTCCGCCGACCGGTCGTCTCACGGGGTGCCGCGGGAAATCCCTCGTTGCCGAGAAAAGGAAAGCGCGAGCGACCGAGGAGAGAGTTCACCCCCGTTCACCCCCGTTGCGCGTTCTCCAACCGTGCACCCTCGTACAACGACCAGCCAGCCAATCCCCACTATCTCTCCCTACACATCCTGCCGTCAGCGCCGCTTGTGGCGAGAATCTCACGCTCGGTCCTCTCCGTCGCTCCTCGTGCTTCCCCTCCTCGGCCCCTGTCCGCTTCCCATCTGGCCCGCGTGAGGGGGTGGTTGGGGTGTTGTCGGAAGGGTGGAGGTGTCGGGCGCCAGTCGCTGCGCGGACGTTGAGCTCGGGTTTTCTGCTGTCCCTCGCGAGAACCTTTTTTTCGAGCCCTCCTTGTCGACCGTCTGGCCTTGCCTCTCTTTCTCGCGTCCCGTCGATCGAGAAACTCCTCCTCTGGTACACGTGAACCTGCTGTTTCTTTTTTCTCTTTTCCTCGTCGTTTTGTGATCTCCGGAGACGTGCACGCGGACGTAGCCGTGGGAGGTGATTGTTCTCGCGTGTGCTTCACGGAAACTTGCGTGTTCCACCGGCAGTGCGTGCGGCAGAAGGATCTAAGCTCGTGTGCTCCCTGTCTCGTGCGATCTCGAGGGATACTGGAAGATGCTGTGTCCTGCTTAGGGATGTTCGTGGTCATGGCGAACGGAGACTCGTGACGGAGGTTCCTTCGTGGGAGAGATAGGTCGAAGATTCCCCAACAAGTGAGTCTTGATCAACCGCGCGATTCTTATCGCCACGGAGAACGAGGATTTCGCTATCTTGTATTATTTGCGCCAACGATCGGGTTGTCTCAATCGAGTGGGCGTAAATATACCCGCGTCTTTGGCTGGAAATTGAAACGATATCGTATATATTTATTCGAGGGGTCGCCGGGGAATTCGAGAGTGTAAGGTAAACTTGATCGTCAGTTTGAAAGTTAGGGGAGTGCTGCGCACTTGGTTGGAAGTTCGACGACTAGATGGTGGCTAAATTGTACGACCGTGGCGTTTCGGAAAACGCTGGCGCGAATTTAATCGCGCGGCTTTCAAGTAGCGAGCTTGAAAAAAGCGGCGCGAATCTCATCGCGGCGTTTTGCCGCGGACGGGGTATGAATTTAATCGCGAGTCTGAGTGCGAATCGCAGATCTAATTGCAGCTTCGGCCGGGGGTAAAAGAGACGAAAACGCGAATGCAGCTTTACAGAGAGAGTCCAAAGAGTGTCGTAAATTTAATTGTAATAGGGTAGTTAGCCGTACGGCCGGCAGGGAATCGTGACAGCGCAATAATTCAACCTAGAACTCCATGTATCCACTTAGACATGCTTGACTTCATCCCTCTCATGTAAAGTGGCGCGAGCACCATTACGCAGCAACCCCATGGTTCCCGTTACATCCGTAATGAATCGAGCGGGCCGAATGTTCATTCGTTTTGTCGAAATTAATGATGCTAATATCCGACTGATAAGGCAGTAGTTGCCCGTCTGTCGTCTCCTGTAGGGAGCCTCCGCCGTTAGTTGCGCAATGATCGCGACGTTAACGGCATAATTTGTCACACGTCGCGATGAGATCGCCATAATTGACGTGTTTATCTTATAGTTATCAATCTTGCCGTTTTAATCGATCGCGCGGCGCTATTACTCGCCTAGACAGCAGCCGTCGTCAGAATCCGTTGTCTTCATGATTCGCCTGTAGCTCGCTGTTTCTTGCTCCTCTTCATCATCGTCGTCGTCGTTGTCGTCGTCGTCGTCGTCGTCGTTGTCGTAACACAATTACCGCCGTCGCGTCCCGGCGCCGTAATTTCTGTTACATCACGCTTATTAATCCGCGTAAACGCCCGCCAGTTTTTTCGTCGCCCTCGCGTTTCCTCGAGAGCGGGAGATTACGTCGGGAGAGGCCCCCGTCGTTCACTCCGTCTCGCCAAATTCATCATTTCTCGCGGAAGTCACGCAATACTATTCCCGTTCTCGTCGCATGCTCGCCCACTCGTTCCCCTTCGTCTCTCCCTCCTGCTCTTCGACTCCTCGCCGCTTGTTCCTTTCCATCCTTCGAAAATCGCTCTCTGAGAGATCGACCGGAGCAAGCTCTTCTCTGTTGGCAACGAGAAGAAGAGCAGTCGATTAAACGAAATTAATGGCTCCGCCACGACGCCGGTTAAGGCAATTAGAAGGGTGGAAGAGTGTGGAAGGGGATGGAGCGAGGACGTGCTCCCGTTGATCCTGGACGATCCCGCACTCGTGCTCGCTTTTTTTCATTTTTGTGGCCGAGTGTCCCTTTCCCCCCCCCCTCCCCCGGCGTGTGTTCCGTCCCCGTAACGGCACCTCTGTGAAAGGACGAATATGGGCGAGTCAGGGTGTGCACCCGGGAGCCGGTATCCTGGGATTCGTAAAATTTAGGAGCGCTACGTACGGCGGAGTTACAGAAGGCGGAAGAAATGGGAGGGGAGGAGGGGGGGTGGGGAGAGGGAGGAGAAGTTATGGATAGGTTTTACCGCGGGAGCTGAGATTCACGGAACTCGCGATTTGTAGAAACTGCGATCTGCAGACGGTAGCAGTGGTAGCTGCGGACGTTAGATTCCCGGTGAAAGCTACAATTCGCGGAATCTAATATATGTGGAAGACACGATAGCAGTGGAGAGAGCAAAGTTTGTAAAGGTTCCGCGGAACGCAGGATTCGAAGAAGGAATGCGCGGAACCTAGGAACCCGCTGTTTGTCCGCCGGCGATCTGATGAACTGCTGCTTCTGCGGAACCTGCGATCCGTGGAACCTTAGATTCGCGGGGGTCTTAGATTCGAGCCAGGAGCTCTCCGGGTTAGAAATTCGAGGAAGGCAGAATACACGGACAGCAATTTAGGTTTCCTAGGAATTTAAGATCCGCGAAATCGAGCATCTCCTCCGATAGTATGGCGCACAGTGCGGTACTCACTCATAGAAAGTTTCTCGGGATCAAATTCGGATCCAGTCTGGTTTCTTCAAAATAATTATGCGCTCTAGTTAAAAGTTTGCGCGTAGAATGTTTCAAACGGTGCGGTTTCAAGGTGAGGAATCCAAAATTTCCCTAATACTTTTTCCGTCGTTACGTCTACACGGTTTGTTTATGTATCGTCTACGTGAGATATATATATATATATATATATATATATATATATATGTTCTATTTTCGCGTAGACAATATAAACTATGTAGTATGTAGTCAATGGATATTATACTATATTAAAACATAAAAAAGCGTAATTGTATTATGAGTCAGTTATTTTTTTCACACTGCCGCACAATGAAACAAAAATTAATCGACATAATCACTTTATACTGTCATACTTAATCTAAAGAAAGGCTTTGAGACACGGTAATAAAGGCTTAGTCAAATTCGTATTAGGCCACGTATTTTTCAAACGCGCGCGCACGATCCGCGTAAATTTGCGGATATATAAACTTATAAAATACTTGAAACAAGTGATATTTACTTGTGAATGAAATACGTTATTTTTTCGTGCGTGTGTGTTATCGAAGAAAACATATGTTGATTTTCCAAGTAATTTAATTATTCAATAAAATACTCAAATTGTTTTAAAAAAACTTTGTTTTTCTGGTTTGTTATTCCACTGAATATAGTAGTTGGCAAAAATGGGATTCCCTATTTTATACCATAAAATATGTCAACGTTATCGATTGAAAACGAAAGCGCGAGTTTCCATAATATTTTTTCAATTCTAGGTAGAGCAGCCATGTTTAGGATAAGAATGGGATTCTCGTATCGTGGTGGGGTAGCCAATTTTGGGAGAAATTTGGGCATTTTAACCGGAATCTATGCTGCATCTGGGAAAATCTTAGGAAACTTCCGTGCGGGTACAGATGACGATAGGCGTAGAGAAATGAGCAACGTACGATATAAGACGACAAGCGTTTCACCTTTTCTCGTTATATTCACACGCGGACGACACTATCGCGCGAATAATCCATCGAGGAAACTTCTCCGATTCGTAGTCACGTGGAAAACTTTCCACTTTCGCGTGAGACGTGACGCGTGCCGACGAATCCTGCAGTCTGATAGCCTCCGAAAAGCGTCCAACGACTTCGACGAACTTTTGCAGCCGGGCGTAACTTTTTCGAGATCAGTTTTCATAAATCATTGGTGCGCTGCACCGCAACAGAATGAGGGAGAGAGAGAGAGATAGAGCGAGAAAAGAGACAGAGAGAGGGGGAGAGGGGGAGAGAGAGAGAGACAGAAGTTCAAATTTGCATGACATTCGTTAAGCATTAGCGTGTTTCAAATTAAAACTTCACATTTTCAATGCTGGCCACAGGAATTGTATTTTCGAGCAATGGCTGGGCTTTTAATGAACATTGAAATTTAATATCGGAATGTAATATCAGTCGCGGCGTCACACATTGGAAAGTACAGCGAGCAAACAATTTATTAATGATAAAAAGTCCACGCGGGATTAAAGGGATATTATATGTTAATATAATTTAGATTAATATGAAAAGGCCGTGAGATAGGAATATGCGTAATTCGCGATTCCATCTCTGTTTGGTCTCCGGTGAGACTGAATTCTTAATCGAGCTTTCAATATTAGCACATTCGATCCGACGTGTTACTTATGTAATTGTTTCGGCCACGGGGTCGAACGCAGGGGTTTGTAACCCTTAGTAACCCCGAAGCAGTCCGACTGCGAGCGGGGTTATCGACCAAGTGGTGGTCTGGTTTTTCGAGCCGGTGAGACTCGGCTGTGGGGTGTCGACTTTTTCCACTTGAATTTCCGCCGGATTTTGACACGCGCAGCTGCCTGGGTAAACAGAATTCATCGATTTCTTAGTACCCTCCAACCATCGGCGCGAAAATACTGTCGGATACAATTGACTTTTCATCTCGACTTATTAAATAAAAGGGAACCGGCGGAATATTAGGAGAAGTAAATGACTGGAATTTAATCTCGGGGAAACGAACGACTGTAGAAGTGACTATCGTGCGTGTAAAGCTGGTGCCACATGATGCACGATTTCATATCTTGTGACCAGTATAGGTCTTCTAATGCACGATGGTCATCTATGCAGTGAATCCTTAAGCTTTTTAAGCTTCTTCAACTGGAATCACATGATGCATGATTTCATGTCTTCTGACATTCATGGCAAACTGGCAACAAGTTTTAGACGGCTCAGCTTATTGCATAGATCTTCCAATGTAAAATAGCGATTCATGCAGCGAACTGCTTAAAGTGTGTCGGTCAGCACGCATGTAAGAAGGCATGCTGACCGGCAGCTCACTTCACTGCATAGATCTTCCAATGTAAAATAGCGATTCATGCAGCGAACTGCTTAAAGTGTGTCGGTCAGCACGCATGTAAGAAGGCATGCTGACCGGCAGCTCACTTCACTGCATAGATCTTCCAATGTAAAATAGCGATTCATGCAGCGAACTGCTTAAAGTGTGTCGGTCAGCACGCATGTAAGAAGGCATGCTGACCGGCAGCTCACTTCACTGCATAGATCTTCCAATACACGGTAGCGATTCATGCAGTGAACTGAACTGCCGATCAGCATGCATGTAAGAAGGCATGAAATCTTGCATTGTGTGATTTCAGTTTTACAACTTGCCTGTCAGCATATGTGTCAGAACGCATAAAATTGTGCACCATGTGCTGGCTTTAAGCTTTAGCTTTAAGGGGAGGTTCTGGTTTAGATAGCCGAAAAATGGGAGGTTTTTGCAAATATTTTTCAACAAAATAA